TATATTTGCAGGTTATGTCTGAATGCTACAACATTCGGTTAGAAAAAAAGGACCAACTTGTGAGCAAACTACTTTATAAAGTATAAGAATCTGGTTAACTTGAATGCGCTATAATTGTCAATAAATACACTACATGCAGTACATGATTCATATGTTAAGCCTGCTTTAATCGTAATTTAATTTTATGGTTAGGATACTTAAAAACTGTAACAAATTTTTAAGAATATGGTGTTGAATCTTATTTCATGTAAGTCATAAAGCATCAAAATCATAAATGCTGTGCTGTATGAGATAGTAGTCTTTTTGATTAAGCACAGGACAGCTTTATATATCCTCCCCCATTCACAGATGGCTCATGGACAAATATGCAATTTTACAATGCCTGTTTATAAATATAAAATATGCAGATACATACAAATATTTGCACAAAGCATGCAGACTGATATGCTCTTTGTACAAATTATTGCTCCCTTTACAGCCCAGCGAGGAGTTTTTTCTGCTCATGGGAGACTTGACAAAAGCTCCAGTTATTTCACTCACAGTCCCAAGTCAAATCTCTTCATACACATCAAAAAGTGTAACAACATAAATATATTATGCATATAGCACAACAAAATGCATTTTGCTCCTTCGCATTTTTGACACACAACAGTAATAACACAGTGTCTGACAAATACAGAAAAGTAAACAGCCAGTTCTCAATTTACAGTCTCTTTAATTTGTGTGTTTTACATTCAGCAGACAATAAGGATGTACCATTTCCTAATCTGGATGCCACTAGTTCTTCCTGTAATGTGATTTCACACAGTGCCTTGTGTTTTCATAATTTAAAATATGAAATAAAGTTAATGAACCTTTAAAATAAAGTGAACTATTATGAAATTGAATTTAAAAACAAAATTAGGTGCAACGATACATGGATAAGCATGTATAGTTACTCCTGTCTGGGGGTTCAAATCCTTGCTTAGAAAAGGTTGCATACGTCTTCTGGTTTTTCTTTTCTTGCAGGTTATGTCATGAGACTGCCCATAGCAACAGTATCTAGCAGGAATGGCCTAACTTATCGAATATAGAGCTGTATATGATATTTTTCAGAAGTTTTGGAGCCATAAATTCATTTCAGACACAAATGTTTAGGGGGTGTTTTCCACCAAGCAGATTTATTATATTTACTCCATTCAGAAGAAGGAATCAAATAATTTTTTCCCTCAGCCACATTAGTGGTTCTAAAGAGCTACATGTGGCTTTCAAGCCACAGTTTGCCATGTCAGTTTCTTGATGCTAAATTGTAGGATGATAAGAACGATGAATCAGAAAGGACACAGAAGGAAGTGTTTTCAGCCTAATCAAGATACTATCCTAGCATTTGCCTTGAGGGGCTAAAGAAAATTTCAACAGTCCTCACTCAGGATGGCCAGTGTCCTAGACAATTTTGTGCTGAGCACTGCCCAAATATCAGTCAAACTGTTCACAATTACACCAACCAACCTGGTGCATCCTCATACTAAATGCATTTTTACTGTAACTCGTGTAATTTTCATTTACACAACGTTTTTTCAAAAACAAATTTGACATGTAAATCAAGAACTGCCTGTATATTTAATTATATCTGTAACAGGACTGGTCTCATTTTCAAAGTACATTTTCACCTCCTAACTGAATACATGCAGTGGTCTCAACTATTAAAAATGTGTTTGTTATTTATCTCTAATGGCAATACAGTATATTCATTAAACATCATATTATTTGTTGTTTGCACATATACAAAAGCTATGGCTACATCTACAGTAACACTGGTCCCCAGTGCAGGAAGACCATCAGAGACTGTTGTATCCTACATGAGTATTGCACTATATGTCACAGTAATATCCAGGAATACTATATTCACATTACAGCCATATCACATATCATATTTAAGTAGATAATTTGTTACACTACTGTTAACCTATACAACTTATTTAAGTCAGATATGAGCTAAATAATACATCCATTTTAGTTCTGTAAATCTAATTATTTCTCTAATATCCTGTTTCACTGAAGTCAGTATTATTCAGTTGATGCAGAATGTTTCCTATATTACTAATATAATGGCAACAAATATAATTTATATTTACACTTTATATAATATATCAAATGCTTTAATTAATTATCAGATTTTGTGTTATGCTTTTGGACAGAGAGCACATTCGAAAGTCACCAGTGGCTGTCATGGCTTCTTTCGAATTTTATATATAATCTATAATACAAAATAACAGTTAGATATATGTATATATAAATAATGCATATTTTATACCTGTTAGGAAATCTATCGGATCCTGACTCTCTGTAGGCATAACACAGGTCACAGTTTACAAGTGTATACACATTATTTTAAATCACAGGACAACATTGCACCATAAAATATATTAATGTATAATATTTAATAACATTCTATATAATTATATTATTACACTCACATCTAATTTTCCATTTCTCTATATCCAGATGTACAATAATTCTTACAGTTTACAATTGGAAGCACACAGAACACTTTTACATATCTTCCATTGAACTAGAATTACGTTTTGTCTACAATCAAATATCTACAAAAGTGTTTGAAAACTATTATATCGTTGAGTAAGTGACCCCTTATTATAAGTTTCTTCAGGAAACTAAAATATAATAAATAACTGAATAAGGATATAGAATCATTTGCATTCTGCCAAGAGTTCTGAGCATGTGCATATGTGTTTCATATATAAATTATACATGGAGTATTATATACACACTGCATGAAACATTATGAACATGTATAAACCAACAGTGGTAATTTTAATATAAAGTGGTAATTCACTGATGAAATACCCATGTCTGTGCATATGAAATACTATTCTTACTTTTGTGTATGGCAGAATACTGTGTTTAGAAGTGTGCTTCATGAGCCTGTGTGTTGCAGTCCACAGGATTGCCTCATCTACAACATGATGCATGCTTTAAAAGTTCATAATGAGAAAATCTGAATATTACTTTAAAATATTGTAACATAAAATACCAACTATTTTTTTCTTTTGGTAATTTTAATACTATTCTGATGCAATGCACGTTTTTGAGGTTTCCAATTTTCTGCATTAAATGTAGTTGTACTACCATGGTTCAAGTGTTTGTGATATAAAATTTCATACATCATAAGTGCCATGTGTGTCAGCTTGTGTGCACTGCACTCTACACCTCTAGCTGAGACAGGCAGCACTCTTTCAAGAGTGCTTCATATTTCCCAGATACTGCAACCAAACATAATAACATTTTAAGTCATCAGTTATTAAAATGAGGCATAAAATGTAGGAACACAAAGGACCATTGTTTTGTTGTGAATGTTGCCTGTCCATATGGGACAGTTGTGATTACATATAACAGCTTATGATTTTTTGTTTTCTGGTATTTTGTATTAAGTGAAAATCAATTTTGAGGGCTAAATGAGATGCACTAGTGCCTGATGTATATTACATCATTGTATAAATGTTGTAATTGAAAAGACTGGGTAAATCTAGTATCATTCCACTTTTCAACATAATGCTTTACTGTATGGTAAATGACTCAAATTTCAATGGCCACAAGGTCTCTGAAAATGAAAGAAATTTTATGCTTGATAAAAGACAATTTTATTTTAGTTATGTAGCATATAATTGTATTCAGAGATATGTCTAAGGAACAGAAATTATGTCCATTTAAGAGTTACTGCTGTACATGACCATATGAACATACTGAAGAGAAATATGGGCATGGACCAAGGTTAACTGCTACATAACAGCTGCTGGGATAAGATCTTTAAGGCAGACAAGTCCTTGAAACCAGGAGAAGGAGAATAGAAAACAAATAATAATAGAGAAAATATGAAGATAAATACAATGGGAAATGAATTAATAAACAACATTAATAATATTGTATGGGCACATGTTATAAATAAGGAAATGGAGACTATCAAATAAGGTTTCTGGACATGAAGATAGAAGGAAAATCCCCAAGAGGAAGTTTGAGATCAAGATGGGAATAACAGATTGACAAAGATTTAACACAAAAGGAAGGAATAACATGGAAGAGTTTCAGGAGGGATAGGTTTGCAAAGACAGAGATACACAGAGAGGCTTCATTGTTGGAAGAAGAAGAGTTATATCTAAAATCTACCAAACGTTTATAACTATCATGTTCTTAACGTAATTAAGGATTGACTTTTATACTGAGTATGCATCATTTTGACTGGAACTTGCATTTCGTAATGCTGCAAGTATATGAAACTTTGAATCCATCATCTGGTTGTGGTATATAAAACTGTGGTTCTTAACAGTACAACAAGAATCCATTATCTGGTAGTGGCTTATAAAAGTCTGGCTCTAAACAATAAAAGTAAGAATGGTGAGAATTTTCACAATTATATTCTATAAGTATGACTTTGGATATATATAATGTTTTGTAATTAAGTGCATCACTATAATATAGTGAACATTAAAGTAGAGATGAAGCTGACATGACTGGTTTATTATAAACTGCAAACCTTCATGAAGCTTTCTTGTTATGAATCACAGCATTTAAAACAAGACAAAATTTACATTCTTAAGATATAGTGAAGCTTATCATCAATTCTGTACACAAAGGCCTAGAATTTATTATGGACTCATCTATAGTTTAATACATCATCATATGATTATAATTCAGTACCTGCTGTCCTTTACATAGGAATTCATCTGTTCTAAGGACACTGTTTCAGACAGAGCAACTAATGAACTTTTGTAGGCCTAACACCACTTTCGCTACATGCCTACACATTAAAAGTATTAGTGTATTACCAGTGCTTTGGCTGTACACTACTGATACCAAGAATTGCAACACATCCTAGCTGCATATTATTTTAAAGAAAACTGAACTGGGGTGCAGATGTTGCAGTCAGAATAATGCTTTGTAAATGCTTACATAGTTTCACAGCATAAATCTTGTTTATATGATGCTGATGTAATTAATTTATGTTTTGAAGAATTTATAATATTATACTGTACATTGCACATCATTTATTATTCACTGGATGTCACTGATTCACTCTCAAAAATGCAACATGTCCTTCTGAAACTTATTTAAAAGTTTCTTGCAAACATGCAATGAGTCTTTTAAACCTTATTAAAAGCTTCTGGACATTGCACACTACATGTTTCGACCAACATTGTTCATCATCAGTTGTTTAAAATTGTTGGTGGAAACTGCTGTTCTTCTGTTTTCTGATTCTAATATTCGATGTGCAGTCCCATCTACAGGCTTGTGTATTCTATGGCGTTGAGTGGCTCTTCTTGTTTTGTGCTGTGTCTGTACTACAAGTGTCTAGACACACAACACAACAGGAAGAGCCACCCAACACCATAGAATACACGAGCCTGTAGATGGAACTATGTATCGAATATTAGAATCAGAAAACAGAAGCACAGCAGTTTCCACTAACAATTTTTAAACACCTAATGATGACAAATGTCACTCAAAACATGTAGTGTGCAATGTACAGAATGCTTTTAACTAAGGTTTAATAGACACACTGTGTGTATGTAAGAAACTTTTAAATAAGTTTCAGAAGGACATGTTGCATGTGTGATAGTGAATCACTGACATTTGTTGAATAATTTGAAGAATTTACTTCTGCACTACAATGAAAATTTTAATAAAATTTTTATAGATTATAAGTGCTGGAAATTATATTCACAATTCAGGCTATCAGGTGCTGACTTGTTGTGAGATTCATGGCGGATGAAGTGGCAATGCAGTAGGTGTGTGTTTTTGTTTCTTCAGATTTCTCCTATTTAAAATCACTCCACTGAAGTTGTCTATCAGTGGACTTTGATGTGCGTGGTAGCCCTTACCAGACAGCACATTACCACATCCTCTGTGCTTCAGCTCTAACTTGATATTTGGCCGATTACTGAGCAAAATGTTTTAAATATTTATTAAGCATGTCATTATGTTTGTGCTGTAGAGTGCAGTCAGAGTCATGCCAGGTGAACTGCTCCCCAGTTCGGTTTGTTTCATGTTTTGTTTCCTTTTTTCAGGCAATCATTCTTACAAGCATTCTTCCATCAAAAATTCAGTATTAAAGGACAGATTGTGTGGAATCATGAAATATGTTTTGCTCTAACTTCTACTCATACATTTGCTTGACCTCTACATGTGCTATAAGCCTGCTGACTTGATCTTTCTTTAACAATTAAATCCTCCCTTTCCTACTCACTGAACCAAAGTTGTTCGTTCCAGAAGAGAAGAAATATCCCTGTCCATTTGTGGGAGGTAGCTGGAATTGAGAAAAATATTTCATAATGACCCTAAAGAACCATTAGAATAAAAGTGTTGTCTTCATGACTGCAACTAGCTGTAAGACATAGATGACAAAATCATTAAAAACAGATCTTAAAGAAATAGCATGTTAGGCTGTGGATTTGATTCAGGGTTCATGGCAGGGTTCAGTGGCAATCTGATGTGAAGATGGAAATGATCCTTTGGGCTCCATATAAAGCATGGAATTTCTTGAATAGCTGAACAACTAGTGGTTTCTCAAGAATGACTCAGCCCCATGAAATTAGCAAAAGAGTACGGATTGTTTCAGAATTACTGAGTATTTTAACTCCACTCTGTAGCTCTCAGGAATAAATTCTAGGTCTGCATTCTGTCATTAAACAGGTACAAAATTTCCAGCTTGTTACCTTGTGTGTCAATCCAGTTCAGACATTAGCAGCCGCTGGACATGTAGTCAGTCTCACTTGCACGGGGTCTGTCTGAACACCATTAACAGCAGCCATCTGTTGGTCTCTCCACGGTGTAGTGAGGAACCTGAGTCGCTATTTAGAGCAACAAGTTCACATGTTAAAGCACCATGGTTACTGTATGTGCTGCCTGCTTTACCATTAAAAGACTGCATTTTCCCAATACAGTGAATTTATCTATCTTGTATGATTTTCACAATAAACAACATTAACACATTTGTTCATGTAAAGGTGATGTAGAGTGTTTTCTGTGAGGTACAAACTGGATTTTTAAATACTGTTTAGATGAACTTCAGGCTTCAAATTGTTGACATGATTCAAGGGGGACCTGTCCCTGTGCATCACAAATAACATGCAGAGCATTATTCATGAGCAGATCTCTATTGAATATGCACTAACAGCTGTGTGCCTCACATTCAGTTCAGCTTCACCCTAACACATACGCTA